TTGTTTATGGAGTATTGTACACAAGACAACTTCTCATGTCTGTCAAGTATTTCCCATTACACCTCATGTACTTTAAATATATTTACAAGAAAAAATCAGTGAAACTTTAATAAAATAAGGAAATTAATAAATTCAAAAACCTACTTAGTGGTCTTCATGATGATTTTGAGATTCTCTCATCAAATTTCATTTTCATGCAATGCTTTTGTGTTTGCGCTGATTTAGCATTTTGAAGTCAATCTTGAAGCTCTCTCTCTCTCTCTATAAATATATTTATGTATATATAAATAATGAATCACTTGGAGCAGTAATCGCAAATTGCTGCTAGCTGACTGTAAAATTATAATCATTATATAATCAATCATGGCTGAATGGGAATAGAGCTGTATTATTTTTATATTGACAATCATTGCATATTTTTGTGTATTATCAAAAGTTCCAAAACAGTTCCTGGTAAGAAAATATGAGATTTCTCTGAAGTTCTAAATTCATTGAGCTGACACAATGAATCAGAAATCCAGAGTATATTTTCAACTCAGAAGGTAACCTATTTTTTGCTGTTTATAGTAGAATCACACTATATCAACTGTTTAAAATTAAAAATTATTAAATAAATTTTTTAAATAACTCCACTTTACTGTCCCATGTTTTCATATACTACTACTGCAGGAACTTAAGTAAGACCCACTTTTGAAATAGAATTTCAGACATTAAGACAGCACTGTGAAATTAAAACCACTAATGATATCAAAAAAAATATTGAAATAAGTTCAATTACAATGAATTATTTTTGTTTCAGTACATACAGAAAATAATATTATTAAAATTAATAATAATAATAATAATAATAATAATAATGATAATAAGTCATAGTACGGAGCAAATTTTATCCTTACAATAAAAATTGGTGGCTGTAAAAAATATATTTGGTAAGTTCTCCAAACCTTATTAGTTGAAGTTTCAAGGAAAATATAAATATGAGTAAAATCTACTGAGACATTTAAAGCTAATACAAACATGGGTTGTTATTTCATGCAGTGCTTCCAATAACTCAAAATATCATTACATCTTCCGCAGCTAGCACTTTATTTATATCAATGTCCATGCATTGGATTATAATAAAGTAAGTGGATAAAATATATCAAATAATGTTACATTAAGAAATTACAAGCAACCATGAAAGGACTGAAAAGAGACATATCTTTGTACAAATTGACATGTTTTATTACCATGCTTCATAGAATTGTTTTGAACTTTTACATATCTTTAAGCCTATCATTATTAATTTATGTAATTGTATACTATATATAATATTAGAGTGCAGACTAGCAAATCTTGTATACATTTTTGTTGGAAATTCTGCACGTTGATGCTGCATTCATATGGCACAGTTGAAAAACCCTTATATTCTTATTTATAAGGAATAAACTATAAGAATACTCAGAGCAAACTTATTTACATATATTTTGATTTTTACAAAATATATGGCAAATGGAATGCTTTTACAATGATGTTACCTCTACTTGACATTACAGTACCACACAATATTTACGTTTGGGTGGTATTGTCTCAGCAATATCTTATAGAAGAAATGTATTTACTGAACATAAAATATGCAGTGGCTAAAAGGAACTTGTAATGAATAACATGAACATAATCTGTAATTAAAAGAATATTCCACAACAATATACTTGTAAATATACTGTTTGTTAAAAACTCTTTATACAGTGATTCTCAATGCAACAGAAAAGAAAATTCAGTTTAGTTGCTTTTAATATTTTAGCATCGCGGAAGTTAAAAATTAAGAACTAGGCAGCAAGATCAACTGTGCTTGTAGGTCCCTCAACAAAATAGGTCATGACAGTGACTAAAGATCATACAAACTTCTGGAACTAGACAAATGTAAAATAAATACTGAATACATCAAAATCTTTTCTAAGAGTATAAGACTAACAAAAAGTCATTATTTCTTATTGTTATTTCTACAATCACTGGATAAAATACTGTAAGGCACTAAAATTTGTGAATCAACATTTCCCTCAATGAATATCTAAGTAAAGTTTTTCAGAAGGGAAAAAAGTAGGCTATAAAATTTAGCATAACACACTATAAAAACATGTTTGTACTATACATATTTGTCAGAAAATTTCATTTTCCTAGACATATCAAGAGATTTTGAACATCAGCCAGCTATTCAAAATTTTTAATCTTAAGATAATATTTGAATATGTACTAGGTTTTGATTATTCATTTATATATTCCATTCACACATATGAGACAGAATCCAAACAAATCAGATGAATATAACAAAATAAATATATGCATAGTCAGACTTATATAATGCCATAGTTCATTGAATAATGCATTGCAGAATGTAGCCATGCCCCCTTTCATGAAACATTCTCAGGAGATGAAATTCAAGTTACTCTAGGTTACATATTTGGTCCCATGGAGGTCAAATTTTTCAAATCTTCCTAAATATACACATAATATTAATATGCACAATTGTGCATTTGTGGATGTGGCTATTCAAATCAATCTTGAAATGAAATAAATAATGTGTAATAGTAAATTTGATTTCTATCGGCTCGGATGTGAATGTTGGCAGCACACTAGTAAATAATTAGTACATATTCTTTTAGTAATTGCACTTTTAGACCTAATTTAGGGGGAGTTGATTCCCATTAAGTTTCAGTTTCTAATAATTAAGTAATTTAAGTATGTTGTAGAATTATCATCCAAATAGATTAATTCTTTAACTGTATAATTTATTTTCTGTTCCCTACAACCAAGGAAATAAGACAGTCATGAAAGAGACTGTACAGCTTCACTTCTAAGAAAGCATTTACATGTCGCAGGTAAGAGTTACCTGTTGAATACCAAATTATATTTATTCAATATAAAACATACACTGCATGTAGTCTACAAGAAAAATATTACTAGAAAGACTAGAAAAGAGGTCCTGTTTGCACATTCAAGAATTTCTTTTAATTCTCATATGTGTGCAAACTTTGAAAATTTAGGATGAAAAATGAATGTTGCACTGACATTGTTATTTTCAGAAATCTCAGATTGAGAGAAAATACATAATTTTCTAAAGCTGAAAAATCTCTGAAATTATAAAAATTGGCATATCAGTGAACAACAAAGTAAATTAGTTTTTCAAAGCACAATGCTCCTTTGGGATACAAATCAACAAAACTGATTTTTATAAAATGGCAATCAAATGCATTCACTTGATACTCTGATACCAGATAACACCACCATGTGACAGTATAATAGTCTTTCTTTGTAGTCTTAATCCTTAATCCCTACTTCAGGGGCCTCAACACAAAATTGTTACTATATGAGATATATGAGTAATATATCCTATCTTTAAAAATCATATTTATCTTTATAGATTTAAAATATAATTTTCATAATTATTTTTGTTTGAAAATATAAGATGTTCAGTTTCAAAAATGAAATAAACAAAGTCAATATTTTAATTGTGTGTATGAATAATAATTACCAGCAGAATCCATCACAAAATGGAAAGCTACGTTTTGCCATGCAAAATCATTCACAGTACATTCATAAAACACTGTGAACTTCACACGTCATGAAAATTCAGAACATTTTAATAAATTCTAATGAGCGTTTGAACAAAGTAGAACTTGGATGTCCAAGTGGCCCAAGAGAGTTTTCTCACATTCCCATTCGTATACATTTCATTTGGGTAATGTGCTTAATAATGGAAATAATATTTCACATTCTAGTGTAAATTACAATGATACAACATAAATTCTAAATGAATTACGGTATGTAATTTTTTTAATAATCGAGGAGGGCTTCGAAAAGAAAAAAATATATATATAAATAACAGTAGCTGCAATATTGTACAACAATAAGAAACAATGCATCCATAGTACTCTGAAACACATATGTGACTTGCCATATGATATGAAACTTATCTTTGCATGTAAACAGTCACAAATCAATTGCTAATTGAATAAATTTAAATTTGCTAAGCGGTACTCTATGACTCAAAATTATATCATAAATAATGCTCTTCAATATATTCATATCTCTTCAAATTTCTGACAATTCAGGACAAACAGTGCAATTAATTTGCATATTATTTCCCCATTTGATTGCTCAGATAAATTCAATAAATTGGATAATGTGGAAATTATACTTCACTTTCCTTCAGTTCCTTATATCAAACAGGAAAAATCTTAGTGATATTTCTGCAGATAAGATCAGCCTGGAGGCATGTCACATATTTATCACTATATAAAGCAAATAAAGAAAGTTTATATAAAGAAAGATAATGCAGAAAAATGAACCAAATATATGGCTGTTGTCTGCACCAAAGTGAATGCGTATGTGGCAGATGTATACTCCTCAGAAAACTACAAAAAGTTATGCAGATCAGAAATATAATCCTATCTTCATCAGCAAAACTTTTTTCAGTATCATCTGTATTTTGGTGGTCATGTTTGTTTCAGTTATGAATATTTAGTATGTATGCACATTATTGTGAATACACACATATAACAATGTGTATATAATTTACTCATTCATTTGTTTATTTATGTATATATATAACTATATGCAAACATATATTATCTATATATATATATACATATAGGTGTGAGTATAGTGTACAAGACACATACATGAAGCACAGAGGATATTTCATAGTTTAACATATCTTTTCACTTTCTGAATATGGTTAATAAACTGTAAAATCCATTAAGCGCTACTGTGGGTGGTGGGAAAAAAAGATAATCAGAAATATTTTATAAGGCACAACTGCTAACTACCCAAACACACTACCCTATGAAATACAATTTCGTAGTACCTCAAGTCTCCTCTAAAGGCACACATGAAAATATTTTTCCATTTCATTATCCTTATGTTACTTCTTATTATTGTTACAATATCTGAATGTAAATACTTCATTATTTTTAGCGCTAACATACAAGGCAGATACAATAATTGATCTAAGTGAAATATTTCTAGTAATACTACAAAAGGAAAGAAATTTCTGATCTCAGAAAATGGACATGAACAGCGTATGATCCCTAGCACAATCAAGTTTTTATTGAGCACCAAGGCTCATTTCAAAAAATATCACACTAGTTCATTATACTCAAGTTTCTTAGACACACAATCTTTAAATGGCACTTCACTTACTATACTCATGTCTTTTCTCAACACAAATTTTATTTGTTTTGCTGATTAACTAGAGTACAAAATAATTTCATTGTACATAGTTTTAAGACAGTGTTTTAGATCATGTGATCCAGAATGTATAAAACTCTATGTTGACTCAAATCTTCATCAGAGAAAATCTGGATACCTTTTTCACATATTTAAAGAAAAAACAAAATATTTTATTTTTTCTACAGGTATGCTCACAAGCCACATATAGGCAACATTACACAGTACAGTTTTACATATATCAAACCAGACAGATGTAAAACATTTTCTATAACAGACACTAGTGATACTAGTTTAAATGCAGCTACATTATACACATACAGTAATGCAAAATCTATAGTGGGTACTATATCACAATAATTTCTGCCATTTGCAGGCCATCACAAAACTCAGTTTTCACTCTCCACAAAAGAACTTTCTAGTCACAGACACATGTATAAGACCACTACATTCTATAAACATTTCTTGCAAAACACTTTTATTTTATTTAAAAATAATTTCAAATGTAAAAGGAAAATCAATTTATCTATATTTTATTTTTAATATATGAATTATTGTAGAAAAAGTAAAACATTTTGGTACTAAGTTTACTCTTTATGAGAAAATGGTACCCTGACTCTCAACAGATATTCAAATTTGTTTTCCTATCAGATCTAGATTCTAAATAAAGACTCTAAGACAAGTATTTCTTTTTCTTCTCCTTCTTACCATCTAAAATATCTATTTGATTCTATTAAAACCATATCGCCCTTCAATTCTGCCACTCATACACACTAAAACTTTGGATTTCTGATAAAAGAATTTGTAAAATTCCCTGCAGTGTGTTAAGTCTCTACTAGTTTACACTATTTACAAGCAATGCTACACTTTCTTGAAAATGTCTTCTCTAGGCAACTTGTTTCCAATTCTCCCATCTCCCCAATGTTTCAATTAACATGTGGTGTGTTGCTGTCATTTGATTTGATTAAATTAACAAGTATTTTCAATAAAAAATTTAAAACACTTGACGATTGTAATTTTCTTTATATTTCATAAATATTGCACCTTTACAACAATAATCACATTATGTTGCGTATAAATTAGATTAATGTGAATTTAGTATGACTTTGCTCTTATGAATGGATGAAAAATAAAGAAGGTGAAGCATGTGCCATATTTCACATGATATCTGGCACATAAGACCTTTCAAAAGTCCATGATCAAGATACTTTTCATTAAATTGTAGTGTTTCTCTTATTCTTGCCAAGATTTTATTATTGTTATCTTAATTTATCAATGACAGCGTTAACATTTTGTGGTAAGCTGTTTCATAGTATGGAAAATACATTTGGTTTTTCCACAAATTTGTCATTCAAAGAGCAATAATGTTTTACCAAATGACTAATTAGATCTTTAATGAAAAAATAATAAAATGAACAAAATTAACTGAACAGTATAAAGAAATTCATTTAATTCTAAAACAATTTTCATTTCCAATGTTGAAATTTAATTATCATTCTGCTGATAGGAACATCTATATGTGTAATATCATTTCTAATTTTTTTCTTTTCTCAATTTTAAATTGTGAGAAATGACATGATTTGTATTTCATAATATCCAGTAACACAAACAAATTTCTTAACATTTATTGTCATGTCACTCCTGTTTCACAGCTACCACAGAAATGCAATGGATGTAAAATATAAATTTTTTTTCTCATTATATTACCATTTTTCTTAATTTAGTATGTATTATATCACATGTGATGACCAAAATCTTCTACCTTTTCCACATCAGATATTGTGCTCACAATTGAAACAAATTCCCTAAGAATATATTTAAAAGGCGACACATCCCATGAAAAGAGAATTATTTCTCAGGGATCTGATACATGCTTCAAAAAATTTTGAGTCCAACACAGAAACCATCAACATCAAGAAGCCACACCAAGTGTCAGTCAGTTTACCTATGCAATAATGTATGTATTTAGAAAATTACACAGCTTCGCAGAGTTATTATGAAACTCTTGTATCATGCTGTGAAACAAATACAGAAAGAGAATTCATTCTGGAAGCCCTGCATACATAACTGCACATACTTCATATAAGGAGGTATGTACATCTTTTGTAGAGTGTTATGTTTGTTAGGGTCAAGTGCTTTTACACTTCATTATCCAAATGCAGTTTCCTGAATGAGAAGTCACTTGGAAGGCTTTTGTTGCTGCTAGATGTAGCATAGAAATTCCTTTGTTGAATACAAATCATGTTAATAGTAAAATTCAAGTTAACTTTCACTTATTAAAAAAACAATAATTACATTTTTATATACAGAACTACATAACAATCTTTCATTTGTATAAAAGAAATACTTATTAAATCTTGTGAAAGTTTACTGAAGATAACTTCCTTTGCATATTGAAGTTGTTAAAGTCTTGTATCTTTTACATAGTAGCTAAATAATTTAATATATTTCTAATGAGGTTTTCCTTTCCAATTACACCAACAATTCCAGCTTTATCACAAACCAACCTAATAAAATATCACTTCACTCAAATGCTTCTTCGTTTCTTTACATTCACTGAACCATTCACACAAACACACATTATTCACTGTTCCAGGTGCATTCAGCCCCCATTACATATCAATCACTACACACTGCACTTAGCTCATGTAACCAGCTGCACACCATACATGGTGTGATCACAGTTAAGAAATTGTTTATGTAATCCTGTCCACTTGTAGAAAATACTGTTTTTTTCTGCCATTCAGAGAGATGCTACATTGCATTAGTATAAGAAACACACATTCCTAATGATACTTGTCATTCCATATGTCTGTACTTGTGAGCAGACATCTGTGAGAGCCCCAGTACAGCATACTGACAGCTCAAGCAGTGATAATGAGTTTGCTTCCCTGAGTGAGCACACGCCTCAACACTGCAAGGTTGGGATGGTGTGAATTTCTCAAAGCCAGCAGCCATTATTGAATCCAATTTCTGATGTTGACGTCTGTGAGCCACGACTTTGTTGGTATCAGTACAAACAAATTCACACTTCAAGCAATGAAAATGAGATGCTTTGTTTTGCATTGCTCCTATAAGACAAAAAGCATTGCATTAGTACACGAGGATTTAAAAGTTTTTCAGTCAATCAAAATACTGTTTTAATGTACATTGTAGACCAATATTAATTTTGAAATTTATTTTCATTCTCGAATTCACTTATAAGAGCACTGACAAGAGAGAGAAACAGTTTTCAATAAGTAAATCATATAACAATTTTCTCTATAATTTTAACACATCCATGAAATATGAAACTAGCATATGACTAGGATTCTAACACTAAGCTTTAAACTCTGAAATTTATCCCACTTCAAGTGAGTATGAAATAATACCTACCTAGGGTAGATGTGTATACACATTCTGGTCGTCCACATGCAACATTAGCTCGGAATTGTTGAAAATCACCTCCCATTAGAGTGTCTAAGCGCTCGTGCCTAGCTGTATGCTGTACAAAGCGTGTCTTGTCACAAAAGCTATAACCACAGTCAGCCCGCATACAGTGAAAATGGGTCTGATGTTCTCTGTAACCACAATGTGGATACTTGCAATCTTCATTGAACCTGGGAGGAAAACAAAAAAATATATAGAACAGTTCTAATGTATATAAATTTAAATATATTCTTTCAGTATTAAAACATAGTTTACAATTACCTAAAGCGCACATATCCTTCAGGCACAGGTTCATCTTTTAATATTCGCATGCTATTTTGCACTCGAGCTTTCTTGGCTTCTGGGCTCATATCCAGAGCTCCAGGTGCCCCCAAGTGAGGAGACATGGGTCGTTTATTAAGTCCAGTGAGACTTAATGGCTTGTCTGATGATGTAGGATCACCAGCTAAAAGAGAATGGTGGTCTAATAAACCATTTGGATGATGATGGGAATGATGACCATGAAGACCTGGAGGTGCAGCAAACATCAAACCTGTTGAAACAGAAGCAAATAAGAAATATAAAATATTTGTGTAATGATTGATTAAGTAAGATGACATTAATTTATCAAAATTCATGAAATAAAAACACTTGTCATTATCACATTTTATTATTATTATATTTTAGTCTATAATATTAAAAAATGTTGTGTACCTGCAGGAGAAGAGTAGATTGCGGGTATTCCAGGCTGAATGAATGGAATACCTTGTGATGTAATCAGAGCAAATTGTTGCCCAGCAGCTGCAGCTGCAGCCATAGCAGCATTAAAAGTAGCTGCAGCAGCTGCAGGTGACTGTGAAGGAAATACTCCAGGTTGTAGCACACTAGGAGGTAATGAAGGCGGAATCTCAGAATTTGGACTGGGTTGCTCAGGAACACCTGGCCCTCCTGAAATGATTGAATTTGGAAAACATTAGTACTTATAAAATCACATAAACATGTAAAATTACACTAAAATTCAAGAATAGAAAAAATACACCAAAACAAAAACATTTATTTTTGTTTAATTTTCTTACATTTTTATATTTATATATTTTACAACAGTAATTAAAAAAATATGAAACATTAACTTTTATGAAATGAAAAATACTCTACAATTTCAGCAGTCCATGTGAAAATATCAACATAATTACTAATTTGCTATAATATTGTCTTCTAACTCTTTGAAACTAACATTTATTACATTTATTTTGACATTTTCTTCAAGTTTATTTTATAAATATTTTATATGTACTTGCATCAGAGAGACACAATATAAATCAATAACTACATGTGACCCAGACAGAAAAAGTACAACAAAAGTCAGAACAATTAATTATGCTGGTTTGATTGTATTAAAGTGTTCTGAGTTATTAACAAATAATCATGCTTCTAGATATAAAATTGATGTTATTACAACATTTATTTTTCTAAAAGTATAATTTAGGGCAATCAATCTTCAAAAATTAGGAATTTACTACAATGATTAGTGATGCATATTTATATTTGTTGTGCTGTTCTCTATTGAGATCGTAGTTCACAGACGGAACCAATATATGGCATCAAAATCTAAAAATTACTTTACCCTCTGACAGCTTTTTTCTAATGTTACACAAAAATATACTATTTACCAACTTGTAGTTGGGTTTCTCTGGTTAATATTTTAAGTTGAATATTTATATTTTGAAAGAAAATTTGTTTGAAGATCTTCACTCAAAATGTTCGTCACTAAATATAACATATAACAAGTTCAAATCAATTAAGAAACTAAGATTTCAAATATCATGAAATTTTCCCTCCACACATATTAAGTAGGTCACAAACCTGAAGCTGCAGTTGAATCATTGCTTTCTTCATTGTTGTTATCTTCAGGCTCTTTCTTGATAACAGAAGGGCTTAGAGCACCACTGCTGTGTTTTGCTATGTGAGGACGCAATCTTTCAATTTCAGAAAATGCCTATAAAATTAAGAATACATATTTTAACACAATACACATTCTCAATCAATTTCCAACAATTTTTTTTTTTTTCCATAATAACATTCAGAAAATCTTATAAGCACGCAAAGAATGGCATGTAAAAAATTTCAAAAAATAATATTTTATTGTGATTTTTTTAAGACAATAACGATGAACAATATTTATCCCATTTAGTGGTTAGAAAATTCTCAGTAAACAAACACCACTGAACACGAATTTTTAACTGGCCAAGGTTTTAAAGATGAAGAATTGAGCTCTATGGGTGTAAGAAAAGTAATAAGTTAACATAATGGGAGTAAATAAAGTAATAAAAACATTATATATTATATTAAAATGTTATGTATTACAATACTTCTCATTTCCAATGCACACAGAAAAAGAAAGAAAGCTATGCTGGCTTTCTGAGGGTGTCTTTGGTTTTGTTAGATACCCAAGAACTTTGAAAAAATCCAAAATTAGTTTTGATTTTGACTGAAAAATGCAAATATTTTATGTTATTCCACAGATTGTCATATTTCATGTACCAACTGAATTCTCATTACATGCATAACTGCTTATGACACAGCTGATGCCTTGGGACAGCAAGGCTCCAAGGAAGAGGCCACCTGCCTTTAAATAATTGCTATTCACATGTGTAATGGATCAGAAACTTTCTTGCATTTTTGGTATGTGAAGAACTGTTTTACTCTGTATGCATGTATATTACACTATATTAATGCAGTATTTGTAAAGACTGTTTTGTTAAAATATTTAATTAATTGTGCATGAGTATTTTATTTTTGTTCTTGAGCAGTGTGCATGCTACTATTTCGAAAACCATTTTGTGCGAGTTTTTTCAGCACAATGTTTGCAGCAACAGACCATTTCTTATAATATGTATAAAAACTGCACTCAAGCTTTCTTGGCCTCTGAGCTCATGACAGAGAATCAGAAAAAAGGTAGTTAGCAGAGTTGCTATATACTTTTCCACAAAAACTACAATTTTAAATCCTGAAGTTACATTTATGATAATTATAATAATCTCAAAACTAACATCAGCAGTAAGATCCTTGAAAGTTCTTGTATAAGACAGGAAAATTGTGTATAACATACCTGGTTGCAAGCATTGCAATGATAATGTTCTTTTCGCTTAAGTTTGCAGAATGGGCGACTGCATGACTGATCCACTCCATATCGTACATGTCTCTCAAGAAGCATCCATTCTGGTCGAGCAGATAGATCATGGGAGATCTGAGGTTGCTGCAGAAGTCTTGAAAGTGACTGCTGGGAACCATCACTCGTGTAATTTGGTTCAGTCTTCACCGGATCTGAAGACAATATTTTAAAAGTTATTGTCAATTGAATGTAGAAATGCTGGAAATGTCAAATATCATATTGGCATTGATGAGGAAAGTAATGTGAATGCACTTCACAAATGTGAAAATGCAATCCAAATTACTTTAATCAAATTAATGCTCATACTTTATCTACTCTTCTGAATTTCTCATTTCATTACTGATGTACGATTAACTTGCAATTCATTTAATTCAATAGAATTTGTAATTTCAAATGTAACCATTAAGATTTACGAAGACACTGAACGATAATTATTTACTGGTTCAGGAGTAATCACCAACATAAAAACATTTAAACATATAATACATATTTTCTATTTCATTGTGGCTTTAGTACTGCAATAAATTAATTACTAGTATATTATTCATAAAAAGTAAATCTTTGCTAGAACAGTAACATAAATTCGGAAAATAGATGCTGAGACAAGACAAGAGTTAATAAAAACATTTTGAAGTTTAAAACTTGAAACCTCTGTTTGTGCATTCCCTAACTTCTTGAATAAAAAATAAGAGAGAATATAATAATGAGGAATGGAAATTGTGAAATAGGAATGAAAAACAATTGAAAACACTCACTCCTCCACCTCAGTTCCCTTTTTGTAATCAAAACTAATACAGCCATTTATTTTAATTAATAAAAAATGGGCCCCTTTTTATTAAACTTTAAATGTTTTACGACACTGAACATTCTCAGTTTTCAGGCAAATAATAATTTCAGATTTGACTATAAATCAATATATCGAAGAGAATTCCAATATTTACAAAACATAAAATTATTTGGACTACAGCTCAAGATATATCTCATATGCTAAATGATGTAAGATAAATTAATTTACAAGCAAGTACATAAAGTGATTTAGACCAGTGTCTTGCTTATGGAAAAAAAAGATTTTCTTTAACCAAGAGTTATAATAGTAATATTAAATCATCAACGAACAGAAAATTAAATATTAATAATAAAAAGATAAATTTCTGATTTTGTAGAAACTAACACGAATGAAAAATAATAATATTATAATAATTTATGATATAATTCAAGAAAAATCTTGCAAATAAAGTGAAATAATATAAATTAAGTACGCTACTGAATGTCAAACATACATACAGGTAACAAATAGGAAGAAAAGCAATGCAATGAGGACAAGGATAGACAAACATTCAACTGACAACATTGGCAACAGAGAGTGGGTTGGGCAGGTTTAACCGGTTACATTGCAACCTTGCAACCCACCTGAGAATGTCAGATTCTTGCTGTCATCTCGAACCATCACAGCCAGAGCCTCCGTTACAGGCATGCCCACACCATTCATGGCCGGAGGGGAGGGAGGGGAGGGAGACGTACCCCGGGATGACTTGGAAATCCTTCCTTTCTCCCCCTGGGGGCCTGGGCCACACGAAAACGCAGAGAGTGGATAAAAGGTCCCAGAAGCCTTCACCACTGGAGAAAACCAAAACCAAGGCATAGAAACATGAGAGGTCAAATACAACTGGAGTTTAACCTACACAGATGAAAATTAACTACAAAGCAGCACAGGATGAGGGCACAAGCATTCATTTATTGTGCAGTGCCAACCCTTTCACCCCAAAATATTTAGTATAGCATTGTCATTAAGAGGGAATCCAATGAATACATTCCGTACAGTAACAGAGGAGGAAGAGTAATGGTTTGCTAAATATTACATATCATGCGATCAAAAGTAAACCGATAACCACATTTCATTGAAATTTGAATAACATTTTACCAAGAGCTGTATGTCACATAGCAAAGAAAAAAAATGTATTTGTGATAAGAAATATTTGGGAATCAAAAAAATTTGCCATATTTCTGAAAGAACTGTTCATAGTGAGAATACTTTATATGTTTCAGGTGGCAAAACAAGCATAAACAAATATCCTAAATGCATTAATTTTTAATTCCAAACACACATACATTTGGGATTAGAACTAATGAAAGATGTTATGATTATTGGTGTATTTATTTTTCAATGGAATGAAATTCATTAACTGTACTGACAATTTTCCTAAAACAAGATCAATTTTTTGAACACCAAAATGAAGATCTTCTAGTTTAAGAAATATAAGAAAGTATCCATCAACACCAATATTTAAATAAATTCAAAAGTTCTAGACAGATGGAATTAAGAAAACACCTGAGAAAATACATGAACTCATCTTAGTTGATTGAAGTATTTGATGGAAAGTCAGAATATTAATAAAAAATATCAATGAGTAATCAAAAAAATCTTATTTTAGGCAATATTTTACCAGGCAATTGCAGAAAATGCAAGATTCTCAATGACAAATGTTTTATTAGGCATGATCTCTTTTGCGATTGAGATCTGAGAGTTGAGAAACTAACATTATTACATACAAAATTTGAAGTGCACTTTGCAATCACAATGACATATTTCATGATATTTTGGCATTACTTCATTTTCAAAAAAGCAAAATTTAAAATACTAGAGTCAACATATGATAATCATTAGTCACATTAAAAGAAGATTTATGTTTCCAAACTAACACAGATAATGATAATAATAATAATAATGATGATAATAATAATAATAATAATAATAATAATAATAATAATAATAATAATAATAATAACAACAACAGAAATATTACTTTATATGCAAATTTTCAATTTCTCAAATATAAATCAATAGCAAAAAAAGTGTAATGGAATTTATTGTTTAGTGAAGTTTCCATTTAAAATATATGAGTCTACAATAAATTTACTAAATTACCCAACCAATAATACATAATAACACCCAAACAATTTTGGAAGAAATGACATATCTGTATTCACATGATTTCTTAAATGAATTATAATGGTACTGGAATATCAAATAATGATATTCTTAAATATTCTTCATAAAATGGTTTAATATTTGCATTACAGTTTGTTTTTATTTATTTTTTTATTAGTTGCGTCTTTGCAACGCATCTCTAAGCAACTTCTGGGGCATTGAGCGCATGGAGAAATGGAGTAATCCTCCTTTAATCTAGTCAGTCATAGTCTTTTATCCCTTTGACTAGGGGCTCGGCACTATTAGATCCCTGGGTTCCCAGACAACCCTAACACAACCACGAACCCACGAAGACTCAAATTGTTTTACTTCCATGACTCCAAGGTGAGCAGTTACGGAACTTATCTAATGATGTCATTTTCCCTCTATTGTGTCCATTGACACAATATAAATCTATTTCTGTTGCTAATCTTCTAATACTGTTCACTCTCAGATATCATTTGATAATTCACTTTAACAACTGATTGAACATTTAATGTAGACATTAAAGCTCAATATAAATTCTAATTAAGATATTTGTTCTTGTTCTGAAGATGATGAAAACAAATAAGAAAGAATAACTATGATCAGCATATTAATCACAAAAAAGAAAATTGTGAAACATGGCAGCATTACCCAATTACACTAATAAACATTCTACTCATGCAAAATGTTCCACTGACTTCTAGCTCGTTGTTTTAAATTGTAATCATATGTAATTAACAAATATGTACTAAGGGCCTATATAGTATTCTTTTATTTTTTTAAACACTAAAATAAACCACTTAGTGAATTTAGCAAATGAGCAATCAGCACCAAAGTAAAGTTTATTTCTCTCTTATCCTAAACGATTCCATTCATCTATCTATATTACTGGATAATGTAAGGATGTAATAATTCTCTAAAATGGGCTCACAATGAAAAGCATACACTACGTGTATTTGTGCACATTTATATAGAAAAGTTACACACATATTTATAGTACATGTAAGAGTACTGTTGGCTGAACTTAAAAGAGTAACAAAAAATATTACTTATCTCATTCTTGTAGTTATTAGAATTGTAGATTCGAGAATGGATTCATAAAATAAATCAAAAACAATTCCAATTATATAACAATTTCATTGGCTTTTACTTATATTTAGTATTCTTGTTGGAAACATTTTACAGAACAGTGGAGGATTTGACTTTTGAATCAAACATTGCACCTGAAATGCTTACATTAGTGCAATAATGATAATTCTCAATTTAGATTTGGGAGTTTTATTCCATTTATTGTAAGTCACCACAATTCTAATTAAATACAAAGAATTTCTGAATAGTTTCTTAAATTTACTTAATTAGAACTAGAATTGTGAATGATGTTTTCTTTACAACAGAAAGTCTTTGATTTCAGAATACAATAATTATTAATACAAGATCTTCCAACAACAGATGCAATTCACAGTTTCTGACACCTACCAGTAGCAAAACATCAGAAGAACAGTGTTGCTATTTCAGAGCAAACACATTTTATATGTCTGCAATAACTTTAAATAAAATAGACAAAAAAGCATTTTTAAATTAGACTTCATTGAAATAAAGTGTTGCCAATTACTACTTTATAAAATAAATGCAACAGTGCACACTGCAACCTCATTGGATATGTATGAATGTCTATGACATTTTCATTCAGTCTCATATCAGAAATTTCAGCACACATGCAAATGAGAAAACAATTTGGTAATTTCCCATGTTCAAATGATCCCAGAAATCTACCATGCAAAACTTCTAATCATGTAACATAAAAATAGCACAAGGTAATACAGAATTATTAAAACCTCATACCTGTGGTTTTCGTTGAACTTCCTTCAGGAGATGACATACCCACAGAACCTCGAGATGAAACAGAGGCACTTGATATCACAGGTGTTTCAACACCAACATCAGGACCAGTTTCACTTTTAATTTTTATGGGAGTTATAACTGAAAGCCATAATTTATATTTTAGTAAACAAATAAAATTAAAGAAACAATACATTCACTTTATTAGTCTAAGTGTTAAAAGCCACACTAAACTGCAACATATAACGTCAGTGAATAGTTTCTTGAAGGTCACTATTAGAAGAATGATACACTCATTTCAAGGTGGCTCTTCATTCAATGCATATTCAGACTCAGTATCAATATTTTCTCAAAGAATTTTCATGGAAAAACAATTATTTATTTGAAGTGTCCAACAAGCATTTATTAAATTTTTGCATAATCTTTAAAGGAAAAATAATTAATTTTACCTTGATCTTGAGTTTTCTTCAAATTTTGGACAGAAGGAGGTGATTCACAAGTAGGAGTCGTACTGCCACCAGCTCCACTACCCCCTTCAGAGGGGTCTTCTGAACGGTGTCTTTGTTCGTGAATGGCCATGGTTGAATAGCGAACAAATGAATATCCACAACCAGGCCTCACACAATGGAAATGTCGATTTACTTTATTGCTGAAAACAAAAACAATCTTCAGGTTATGTTATTTACAATGTGTTTGCTTACAAATAAGTGCAGACGTGATAAAAATTAACAGCAAGAAAAAATGCTATATTCAAAAGCACAAAATAAACAAATTATTAGATCACACTAGGAAACAGTGTGTTATATTATTTATATATTTTTGTATTACCTGTGACATGATGGCAGTCTGCAGTCCACCATCCTGTCAAAAAATAGGAACCCTTCCATGATGTCAATATTATCATGAAAATCTTTGGAGTGCATGATCAAAATATCCTCACGATCTGTTACATAAAAACATCTAGGCTGGCTACAATGGTAGTGCTGAATCTTGGAGTTATATACACACAGGGCATCAGGACATGGAGCACCTTCGGGGAAGCAATAGAATCCTTCTTGAAGCAAATCAATGCGATGCTGTAAAAAACACGAAATAAGAGTTAGTCCATGGCCATTTACAGCCTACATTCCTTATGTACAGAAAATATACAATGTATTCAATATGATCAAGAATTATTATTGTAGTTATCTTAATAAAATTTCCTGAATGCTCTACAATGTTTAAATAACTACAGTACAAATATTGTCTTTGACTTGGAGACATTTGAACAAGAAAGGCATTCATACAGAACATTTATAACCAGAATACAAAATATCATCAGAATAATGATAAAATATTAAAGAATTGTAAACCCTCCTCACTAGAAATCCACAAATTGTTTAAATATTGAAATCAGGACAGATGTAACTGAATTATACTTTAAAAACTGTAATGAGTTTACAATGTCTTTATCCCACTGTGAAGGTTATGGAACAACACACACTCCATGTAAGTAAAATAAAAAAATATTTTTTCTCTGAAATTAAAAGTCCTGTTTGCTATTGTGAATGTGTGAAAAAAGGTTGGGGCAAAACTTACAGGAGTAGAGCTCTTGGAGCTTTCATCAGGACTCGAAGGAGCAGAACTGTAACCAGGTTCTCCAGGAGGAAGGGACATCATACCCAGACCCTGACCACTGAACCCAGGTCCTGCTGGGACTGATGCTGTTGAAGGTTTTGGTAATTTAAAACTAGTGAAAATTGCTTGAGGAGAATCCATAACAGCTCCAGGAGACACTGAGAACTGTAACATAAAATAAAAAATGTATTTTATAATAAATCATTATAACATCGTCTACCACAATCTATCCCTTATATAATCAAATATTCAACATCAAATATGACTAAGAAGAATCACTGCCAAATTCCTAAAAACAATATACAAATATTTGAAATATCTATTTTTGTAGTTTTAAAACAATCACTACTATCAATTTAAATTCTAGAACTAGGTGAATCCAACTGGAAATTTGTGTCAAAAATTCTGTTAGCTTACCCTCATGAAAACGTAAATCAAAAAACACTATTAAATTTCTTTTATTTTTAACATATTACTTAAAATTTTCCTTTCATCAAGCATTATTTCACAATAATGATATTACTGATTTTGCAACATTGACTGAATGCAGTAAGACATTTCAAAACAAGAAAGAAAATGAAAAATACATTTCCTTGTTCTCTTTCACATTTCTATGACAACATCCATGTGCCACAAAGAAATCTGATCCCTATGTAAAATTCAAAATATAAGATCCCCAGTCTTAAAAACGATAATTGCTTCACCACCTTAGTATAGAATACAACTGTCATTATTTAGGTTACAAATTAAAATGTTAAAATTAGTTGAAAGTTATTTTGAAGCTATTGACTTATACCTGCTATTTTGTGAGCAGGGACACACATTGAAAAAATACTTACCAATCATAAAGTATTGTTAGTTTGCATTCCATTTACTTTAGTTATGTATTTAAAATTCATATTATCATGAAAGATACCATTAACCCATGTTTTCAGAATAAAGATTACCATTAGTGAACATTATTTAAAATTACTTCTTTATTTCCATTTCCCTGTTTACAGTGAATATTTTATTTGGCATTTCCTCTTCGCAAAAAATCTTAAATTGGAATAAACAATGCAGGCACTTATACAGGCTCTGTGGATTAATGAAAGAAATAGGCTAGTATAGATTTTAATAAAAAAATTAAAAGGACTTAATATGGAACAATGTTTTATTCCCATTTATTAAGTTTCATCTACAGGAGTACGGTTGGCAGTGGCAGTGGTTAGAGTCACCACTTTGACATTTTTGAATAAAGTAACCCTAACTATCATGAAAAGAGAGAATTGAACAAATTTTCTTTCAAATAGCCATAGCTTTAGCACTAAGAATTTAAAGTTATGAGCACTTCTTCCAAGTGCAATATTGTGGCTTTCTTTAAAACCTTCCCCATTCATTTGTGTAAGCTTCTGTTTTCCAATTTCACCTACATGGCGGTTCTTTTAGAAATGATTTTTTGTGTTTATCTGTGAGTTCTAGAGAGTGTTGTCACAATCATGTCATATGGTCAAATTACAACCATGCTTATCATGCTGTCATGCACAAACCACCATTTACAATGCAAAAAGAAAGTATTGGTAGTCATGTTATTTACAAACAGGAGAGAAACAAATGAGAGATGAATAAAAAAGAACTTACATAATCATTCCAAATCTGAAAGGAAAGATGAAATAATATTTTACTACAGGAATAAAATATGATGATACTATAAGAAATTAATCTCATTGACAAAGTATATAAAATAGACTTGTATTTACAATATCTCTCTATTATGAATAACATCTATGAAAGTACTACTTAAAATTGAATTCTAAGTAAGAAAATACATTATATTCTACAATATTACAAGGCATTTGAACTTAAAAAAAAGTCATCTGAATTTACCAATCAAAATATAATAAATAATTCTTTTAAATAACTTGATACACACCTCAATTACCCTATTCTTTGGAGGACGACCCCGTTTTCTTCTAAACATGCCATCGATGGAAGTTGCAAGATGAGTCATAGTGAGTGGGTCTTTTGTAAGACTGAGTTTTCGTGAATATTCATGCATTTTGTAGTGGTCCAGACGGCGGAATGGTTTGTCGGAAGGTAGAATGATTTCTCGACAATTGTCCTATTAAAATATATTCAAGTTTAAAAATATATAACAATTATAATTTTGCTGTTAATATTACACAATTTTGTTTGAACAAAGAATGTGTAATTTACCCAAGTGCAGTGATAGTGTTTCTCCTTAGCTTGATATGGGCAGTCATCTTCACACTGACAAGGTTTACCATCTTGACCACCCTCAACTGTGATATAAAATGCCTCACTCACTTGCTCTTGTTGTTCATGGTTGCGTGCATGTTCTCTGACTCCATCCATCGATCTATATTTACAAAACATTTCATTAATGTTATGATCATAAAAGAAAAGAAATGTTAATCAATGTGTTGTTTTTTTTCCTTTTTTGTACCTGAAGGTCATCTCACAGCTCTCCGCTCTGCAGTGAAAGTGTTCCTTAAAAATAAGTTCACATTGACTGCCACCAGAGCACTTTTCTACAGGTCCATACCGGGTCAGATATTTCTGCCAGAAATCCTCTGTTGTCCATGGAGTAGAGTTAGGTGAAGAGAAATCACTACTTAGATCCATAGCTGTCATGTTGGCTTGCTCATGAGACGGAACTAGATATGCAGGTGGGGTTTGATGGCTAAGCCTTCCTTCCCCTAAAAACGTTTTATTTGATTAATTGTGGAGTCAATACAACATAAAAATAGTTTAAAACAGTACAATAGAGAAAGAAAAAACAAGAAAATGAGGAAGTATATTGATATTATATTACACAACGGTATAATGACTCGTATATAACTTTATTTATGAAGAAAAGGAAAAGAACAGTTTCAAAATATTTCTGTGATTAACAAAAGCAAAAGCCATCAGGTAACAATTTTTTGAAAGAAAATTGAACTTACCTCCCATAAGTTGTCCATATTTAGGAGTAAACTGTGGAGGAATAATGCTCATAATGGGAGACACTTCATCTCGATCACTGGGAGCCTCTCCATTGCTGTGGGGTTGGCCTTCAGATAAAACTGATGACAAACTAGAGTTCGGGCCATGTTGGATAACAGAAGTTTGGATTGATCCAAGAGGACCGTCTGGATGTTGACTGAGCTATAAAACATGACAAAAATGTAAATTATTTAATTTTCCAACAATGAAACGGTAAAGAAAGAATTGTAACACAACAAATTAAATATTTCATATACCAGTTAGTGTCAGTAGTTTCTTTGTCAATGACAGCATTTGTCCACACTCCATGATTTATGCCTTACTAAATTACTGGATTGTGTACAATAATACATTGGTTTAAGTGTGAAATGTTCATTACCTGATCACTGAAGGCTTGCAGAACATTTGGACTAAGTTGCGATGGAGATTGTGCTTCACTGAAGCTCTTCATCATACTTTGAGCCAGTTTGAATTTTCGATAAGCCATTTCAGAGTCCTGTCTCTCGTGCTTCCTTTTATGACTAAAAAGCTGGCCACTAGAATGTAGGACGTAGTTGCAACCAGGACGAATACAATGAATATGGTTACACACACGTGAGAAGCGGCAACTTTCAAAAGGACAATTTTCATGTTTCATGAATTTTTTAAAGCCATCACGGCTTAATTGCTCATCTTTGATGTGATATGTCTTGTGCTTTTCTGGAAAAGAAAATATGAAATATGAAGCCTAGTTTTAAAAGAAGATAATCGTTAGGTATTTATATGGAAAAAATAAATATTAAATAATCAAAATATACATTTATACATTGATTGCCAATAGGCCTTTCAAATACTGAAAGATATGATGAAATTTAGAAGGCAATGATCCATTTATTGATAAACATTGATATAAAAGTAACTAATAGTAATTTTAAATAGCTTTTGTCAGCAAGACATGTATTAATAATAATCATCGATGTATCAAAAATATTCTTAAGTCTAAAAATAACCCATACCCATGTCTGCTTTGTTTTTAAATGTATATTTGCAGTTATCCCTACGACAATGGAAATGTGTTGTACGTTGTCCATAAAAGGCACAGTGTTGGGCTCCACATTCTTCTGTTGCACGAAATCTTTGGAAACCTTCTTGAATTATAGCAGAATCTTTCCGATGATAATTGGCATGCATCTGGACATCTGATGTGCTAATGTAAACCTTGTCACATCCCTCCTAAAAGCAAAATGTAATTACGTTAATATTTAACATTAACTACAGGAATCAATTCTGTAAGAAATTAGTATGTCATAAACACTAAGTACAAAATACTATTATGTAGAATACTACACTATTAATAAAACTAGTGTAAGATACTACTACCTTTATGCAATGATAATGTGTTTGCTTGCGATTGTGGCTGCAACCTTGGTAGCGATCAGAACAATCATCCATGGGAGAATATCGCATAAAGCCATGCTGTAATGATTCATCCCTTTTTTTGTGCCATTTGAAGTGTCTAATCATTTCTTCTTTCTTTACAAATACTCTGGAGTTACAGTCCAGACAGTGAAAGTGCTCTCTGTAATACAGAAAAATAATAATGAAAGAAATCTATATTTCCTCAATGTAATAAATTTGTAACTTTCATGTTTTTTCAAAAATGTTGAATTATCCACAAAAAATTCAAGAAAATGTTGATAATAACCTGTAATTTAGATCCTTGCAATATGTGCTACCACATTCAAGAGCACTACTGAATCGCTTCACATAGCGTGAGTAGTCAATTGGTATTGGAGACTTGCCGGTATTGCTGGGACTGAGTTCAGTTCTAGCTGGACTCATTGTAGGTACCCGATGACCAGCAAGTAGAGGAGAGCCTGTAAAGAAGAAACATTCTACTATTGAAATCTTATAAACATATTAAAAATTTAACAATTACATACATAGTTGCATCAAATTTGCTGTTCAGAAAAATGGAATAAGTTGAAATCACATTGAGAATATTTTATCAAATAGCATTCTAAAATATTAAATAAATTGCAATTAAGTGATTGAAAGGATGATTTAATATATGAAGATAGAGATAATGGAAACAGCCATGGAGAAACAAATGTGCATTACATATTATATTCTAGATTAAATGAGGAACTGCAAAGGCTTGCCTAACAGTTGTTATCATCTTCTGTTAGAGTTGTAAAAAAATTTAAGATAAATCTCAAATTGTTTAAACAGTAGCTTAATGGATAGTCATAGCAAGTTCAACATTAGAATAAATATTTAGGAGAACAACATTCTCTAATACGGATTTTAATTTGTTGACTGTTGAATTGCAACCTCCTTTTTACTTTCTTTTGGCCCACTTTGGGGTCACAACATGTCTTCAAAATCATTTATTTAATTGGAGGAAGATTCCATTACATGTGGTACAGTAAACTTTACCCTTCAGAAATTTGAAACAGAAGGGTGAACCACAGATTTTAGGGAAAATAGAATGTCATCGGATGGAGCCATGACGACTCCAAACTGTTGAGAGAATACGTAACGATTACTCTAACTCATCAAACCGAACCGTAGTAATAGGTTTTTGTGGTATTTGCGTGCGGGATTTTTTTTCTGTTTTATTTCTTTTTTCTTTCCTTTTGTTTTCTTTCGAAGATGACATATTTACGGATGGACGTATGACCAGGTATAATTCCTGAAGGTAAAGGGAAATGTTACACGTCCATCCGTAAATATATTTATAAACAAGGCGAGATATTATATACGTTCATCAAGCAGCAAATTGAATTCACTTGTTCGAATCAGAATGAAACGATTATGATTATGCCGAGAACACTCGAAAGCATGAATATCACACCCTTGCGAGTCGGTCACGGTTAGTTTCTGGAGAGCTGCCGATTTATGTGGCATGTACCAGTCTTCTGCCTTTAAATGATTAAAATTCACAGGCGGTATCTCTCTACGGGAATATCTCGGTGGATGAAATTAGTGTGAAACTAAACTAACTTGAACACGGTAAATTGGCGTGTGGAAAACCTAAACATTGTAAACCTGAAATTTTCTTTTTGAAACGCGGCGATACCGAATTCAATAGCAACCCATTAACACAAACATACGGAAGAAACTTTCGACCGAATGGAACTTTCCAAATATCGTTCTGATGTAGCATTGCTTTCCCAAACCAGGCGAGTACATCCCCCCCCCCCCTCACAAAAATCCAGCACCGCGTCGGGCCACGCGCGGGGCGAGGCGAGTGCGGCCAGGCCAGGCCGAGCCGGGCGGGTCTCCGGCTGCGCTCTTCGACCGCGTCACGCTTCCTCCTCTCGCGCCCGTACCCGTGGCTTACGTCAGCAGCAAGACGTTAATAAATGAATGCCTCGGGAATCAATTCCCATCGCCCGCCGAGCAGACAGCCAGCGGAGGCACACAGGCCGGGTCGCGGAGCTGCCGCCTTCTCCGTTCCACTCAGCTCCGCTCTGCTCCGCTCCGCCTGTCCCGCCCCGCTTAGCTTCGCTCTCCTCCGCCCGATCGCCCGTCTTTTCTCCACTCGTTTCCGCTCCTCTCGCTTCTCTTCGTCGGCTCATCTCTCCCAACCCCGCTTTGCCAGCTCCGTTTGAGTCGTAGTTCTGAGATCGCACGTGTGATTGCAAACCCTGCAAACCGATTTAGACCCTTATTGTATAACAAGGCGGACACCAAAAAGTTGAGAGAGTGAGTGAGTGAGTGAGTGAGTGAGTGTGTGTGTGTGAGAGAGAGAGAGAGAGAGAGAGAGAGAGAGAGAGAGAGAGAGAATATAATTTAGAATGAGAAAAATAAATTTTCTAGCAACAGGTAGTCTACAAAAATAAAACAGGCAGTTACTTCAGTCTTTTAGTTCACAACGCTTCATGCTGAGAATCTACTGAAAACGGGTACTTCGAGACTTCAAATGTAGTTTTTCTTCAATAAATGAAATTTCAATAAATATTTGAAGACGATACCAAAGACTGCGTAACGCATCAACATTACAATGTGTCATCTCTAAAATATCAAACATCTGAAATCTATACCTAGTTCACGCAAGAACATTTAAACTCGTTAAATATAAGAAGCAATTTTTGCGACTGAACATTTCAAAAAACGTTGCACATTCTAAGATTAACACGGAATAGGCTGTGTATAAATGACGGATGTCTCCTTAAGTACATATTTGAATTATACGGAACTTTTGTTGGCAACATTTCTTCGCAAAGTAAATAACGGCAAGAATACCAGCCGGGTTCTGTACTTTCCGCCAACCCTACGCGTTTGTCCCCTTTCGAATTCACGTCCCCCAGAGCCTGGGAAACACGGCGCGCGAACCTGCTTTTTTGCCGGTCGCCCTGAAAGGGTGAAACCCGAACTCGGGGTGAACAAAGAGAAGAAACGCAATGAGGGAAGAATTTCTGCAGACGGGCACGTAAAGAGTGGCTGAGAATGTGTATTTTGATCATTTGGAGCGGGGGGCCACAGGACGGGAAGGTGCGGCGAACCCTCGGGCAACGAGGTGACGCCTTGCCTCCTTCTGAATGCTCGGCCGGGGTCGATAGCGATGTCAGCGCATCGAGATAAGAGATCCCTAGGACAGGTAACGGCTGCCGAACGTTCCAAGACCTCTTCAAATAAATCGTACTGCTGGTTCGATGCAGGTATTTCTGGACCGCTGTACCCCCTTACAACCCTTCTCGGAACGACAGCGGGTACCACTGACAATGGTACTGTCTAGCTTCCAACGGAAAGCATCGTACATAAGTCGATTCTACAACCAATGTAATTTGACCTGACAAGCAGTGAGTACGAACTACCAAACTGAATGCGCAGAATTAATTAAAACATAATTTCGAAGAATAATATCATCTACCGAGTATTTAAATATAAAGACGATGCCAATAACAAGTTGAATATAAAACATAACATGTCAAAAATTAGTTATATTTGGGTTAATTTAAATAAAATATTAAATTACACTAAGTGAAATGACATGCATTAAAGAATACGTTTCAATATCTCTTTTTTTTAGAAATTCTTATACATGTATAGTTTTGAAGTAAACTCAATAAATAAATGAAACTACCTCTAAAATATTTCGCAGAGTATCTGGGTAATGGGATGCGTTATAATTTGCAGTATAAAATGAACTGCAATTTATGGCACTATTTTTCAGATACTTTGAAAATGAAGACAAAAGTTGGTGAAGTTAAATCTAATATGCGCGTTAAAAGTTAGTAAACGAACTGAAAGAAAAGTTCGCAAATTGAGGAAATTTTTTCTCCCCTTCCCGCCCAAGCTATCTCCTTCTTCCTTCACTGATCAATACAGTAAACATACTTCCAATCTGTGCGCGGCACCCACGTTTGATAAAACCTTCCTTGCCGCTATTTTAATGTCCTATTTTTTTCTACGTTTGCTGCCGCAGACGTCAACGCTACATTAAACAAACTAGAAGCCAAACAGTCTATGAAGTGCGAACCCCGTTGGTCAAGGCCAAAAAACAAGGTGGAAATTGTAGATAAACCTTATTTATAAGTTATTCATAGGCAACAATGTGTTAACAGTTGTTTCACTTGGAGTAATCCATGGGGATAAGTGGAAATTTTCTGAAAGCCATTATCACGACGGCAGACTTTCCGTATTCTTTGCTCAATGCAAATTTCTCTCAATCCAAGCTGAAAAATATTACACAAATCCTCCGCCTCAAATGAGAAATCCACATTCTGCATCCAGCCAGTCCGACGCTAGTAAACTTTCGCATCGCCCACCAGCGTACAATAGTCATCAAGAAGAATTCTAATCTCTATTATGAAAATTTTCCCGGGAGACGTCGACGAGACAATGAAATAACTCCGGCGCGCGGTGCTTTTTATGGAGTCGGAGGTCTCATCGGAGAAGGGGGGGGGTCACAAAGGGTGAAAGGGGATCGCCCGGGGGGACGCAGGGGTGCGCTGGAAATACGAGTGGGCAGGATCTTGAAATGGGGTAAAGGGGGCCCCTCAGGGAGTCGCCCCGTCCCCCTCCCTCCTCTTCCTTCCTTCACCCGCGTTCACCGCCGTCTACCCCCTTTGCTTTACCGCTTTTTTCTCTCCAGATTAGGCGAAGGCTCGCAAGGATGCCGACTCAGGGCTGAATCCATCGCGTTGCGATCGTGTCTCCGTATGGGTGGGCACGGCCGCGTGTGGAGCATAGGGGCAGTTCGGTGGCATGAATAGCATCAGGGACGTTGATTTCCTTCGGTTGTGTTTTCTTTTTTTTTCTTCTTTTTTTTTCCTTCGCGGATTTTGGTGGCCTTTATGTGTGACCCCTCTCCAACCATGCACAAAGGGTTAACGTATATTTACCCCTTCCCGGCTTTGAAGCGAATGCACCATAAAGAACCGGCGGAAAGATTATGCGCCCTTTCACGGGATCCGCAATGCGGGAGAGGAAAGAGGAGGGAGGAGGAGGCAGGAGGAGGAGGAGTGCAGGAGGAGGAGGAGGCAGGTGCGAGGAGGAGAACACTATGGAGAGGTTAAGAGTGGAGGAGGAGATGAGGTATGAATGGTCTCTTGGACGGGTGAGGAATGCAGTTCAAACCCCGGTCGTTAGGCTTCCTGGTGCACCACACTCGAGTAAGCAGGCTCTTAATGCTCTATTGTGAGGTACCAACATTGTTATTACATTACGATTATTCTTCGACGAAGACGATTCTCGTGAATTAAGGCGGAAGAGCACTCACTCTACTTGATTGCATGGCTATGTAAAATTCCAAAGTGAATCAATGCAATAATTGGCAGAGCCAATTCGCTTTCAGTTTTTTTATAAATACTTTCCAAGGAATAGACCCGAAAATAATACAGTTCATGAACTGCAAAAAGATATCGGGTATCGGATACCAAGAAATAAAAAAGGCAGTGACTACAGTGCAATAGCCTTTAGATAATAAAAAGTAATTGCTAACATTGGACGATAGGTTGCGACGGAATCTATCAGTTACTTATAAAAGAAACAATATGTTCTAACATATATTTAAAAAAATTGACCTTATGATTTTGAGCAATTTTTAAGCATACCTTAATACTATTTTTTTAAATTATGCATATTATGCACATCGTTATTTTTCTGAACAATAATGAACGAGTCGGTGAAGTCAGAAAAAAATAATTTGCGTTTATCCATTTGCTTCATAGTTAATTTGTCAAAATGGATTTATGTACTAAAATAATCAAACTAAACAAATTGGCGATCTGAAAATACCAAGCAAGTCGCCAAATCGTTAAGTATTTTGGTGGTTTGAGGAGAATCACGCAGGTCAGTCCCTCCAGAATATTATAGAACTATTATTTTTACCAGTGTATCATTCAATCGGAAGAACACTAAACCTACACCATTTTTAATGTACAACAAATCTTGGCTGTTTTTTCCCTACGGGTGCTGTTACGTATCCCTATAATAAGCTTTAGATATGAGTTAACATGTGCTGCATGAAGCTAGAGCCATATTTTATAACCAAATACGAACGCTACCATTTACTTGTGTCGATGGAAACTAAAGAGCATTGGATAACGGATAAGGTTGCTGACCTTACAAAAAGGGTGACTGAACGAGTGTGTGTAATGAGTTGGTTATCACCGACGAAACGACTAAAACGCCACAACATTGACAGAATGAGAAAACGTTTCCAAGCGATAATTTCTTGACATATGTTCTCTGTTCCATTCTGAGCTGTTTACAACTTTATGGATTTCTAAAAGGAGCAGTTTATCTGGGCTAGAGACGCACGAGACAAAGCGGTCACAAAGGCATGTGACACGTGGTGGCAGACTTTTCGTTGCTATGATAGAAGACAATTTTTTCCCGCACATCTCTATGGGTGTAGCAAGTTCAGTACCACATGCAATGAAACTGAAATGAACCTGTTCGACACAATTGTCAAGCACAGAAGCACAACAGACTATGTCGATAAAT